GTTACCTAGGTCTGCTTTTGCTCAAAACTCTGCTGTTAGCAGTATACCTCAGTAACAATAAAGGAAGGAAAGAAAAGACCAAATCAATAAGGCCACAGGTTTATATCATTGGTTATTCTAATATCACAGCTTCAGCTGCACATGTTGAACAAAAATACTCTCTCACCAAAACAAAACAAAAAACATTTTTATGTAACTTAGCAGGACTTTCATCTACCTCAGCACAACCTCAATAATCTGTACACCCAAATTAAAAGTTTCTCTCTGTGAGTACATTTGATTCTCAGCTTAGCTATATTCCTAATAATTCCATGTACAAGTGAATGTGCTCATTAACAAGCAACACATTCAGGTTGCTTTTACAGGTTGGATATCTAAATTCACTTTTCCAGTTTCACCAGCAGCAAATGCACAATGTAGAAGTGGTTTGACTTCTCTGTATGTTACTTTTCCCATTTATACTGCTGGAGATAACGATGGATGAATGTGTATGTCCTTTGCATTTAGACAGACAATTTATCTTCCCAAATTAGGAGGCTAACTTCCACACACAATCGATGATGATGAGTTACAACAGAGGCAAGTGGGAAGAATTATAACTTGAATGACCTAATTATCTTGTTCAGAGTAAATGAGAGCATATTTCCATAGTTAGGTACCTTCAGATCAACATTTAGGAGAAGAAGAGGCAAACGGTATTCAGAAGACAAAAAATTTTTGCTGTTTTTGATACCCATTACCCAAATGTGAGATCTACTACAGAACAAGGTTTCCTGATCTTTACAGGGTCTTTTAAAGATTCTAAAGTTCATTTGCAAGATATCGTTTCCTACAAAGTACTCCAACTTCATATCATCTCAACAAGGATGTAAGATAATGCTATGTGGAAATTAGAACTGTTTTGACTTACAGAGGTCCTTTCCAATGTAAATCATTCTCATAGAGAGTCAACTTTAAATTCCTCATACGTGAAGCAAAGTACATATTCATATAAAACTATAATAGAATCACAGAATCATTAAAGTTGGAAAAGACCTCTAACATCATCTAGTCCAACCATCCCGCCCACCACAGATATTGCCCACTAAACCACATCCCTAAGTACTTCCTCTACCCTTTCCTTGAACATCTTCAGGGACAGTGATTCCATCACCTCTGTGGGCAGCCTGTTTCAATGCATTGCCATTGTTTCAAAGAAATTCTTTACAATACCCAATCTGAATTTTGCCTGGTACAGCTTGCAGCTATTCCCTCTAGTGTTATCACTGCTATCTGGCAGAAGAGGCCAACACCCATCTTGCTACAACCTTCTTTCTGGTATTTGTAGACAGCAATAAGCTCTCCTCTGAGCCTCCTCTTCTCCAGACTGAAGAATCCCAGTTCCCTCAGCCACTCTCCATAAGACTTGCGCTCCAGACTCTTCACAGCTTTGTTCCCCTTCTCTGAATACGCTACAGGGCCTCAATATTTTTCTTGTAATGAGGGGCCTAACACTGAATGCAGTACATGAGGTGCAGCCTCACCAGAGCTGGGAACAGAAAGACAATCATTTCCAAGCTCCTGCTGACTGCACTATTTCTGATACAAGTTAGGATGCCATTAGCCTTCTTGACCACCTGGGCACGCTGCTGGCTCAGGTTCAGCTGAGTGTTGACCAATGTCCTTGGATTCTTTTCCTCCACACAGCTTTCCAGCCATTCTTCCCCAAGCCTGTAGCATTGCCTGGGGTTCTGGTGCAAGATTCGATGCTTGGCCTTGTTAAACTTTATCACTTTGCTCCAGCCCATTGATCTAGTCTGTCCAGATACTTCTATAAGGTCTTCCTACCCCAGGCAGATCAATACTTTTACTCAACTTGGTGTTGTCTGCATTTTTACTGAGATTGCACTCAATTCTCTCATCCAAATAATCAATAAAGATCTTAAACAGAATGGGTCCCAATATCAACCTCTGAGGAACAACACTCACTACCAGTCACCAGCTGGATTTAAACCAGTTCATCACCGCTTTCTCAATGCTACATGTGTAGCCAGTTTTTACTGAGTTTCATTTAGTTTTCATTGTTCTTCTTGTGCCACAATAACAATATCACCATATCTATAAATACTGCATTTTTCTGCTGATCGTACAAGAATTGTAAAAACGTGATCTATTTGCCAACATCCCTTCTCTTCTTCCTGCTTCTCCCTAGTCCATGTGTAGTTGTTTTAGGCCATTGTAGTCTAAATACCAAGTGTAGTCATTATGTAGTATAATCTTGCTAATGAAACAGAAGACTGACAAAGAACAGTTTTGGTTAACACATTTGCTGTTTATAGTATTTCTGATATTTTTCTGTCCACGTGATATTGAGGGCCAGCTTGGCACTGGCTGCATATGTAAATCTGGAGCAAGATGATGACTCATGTAACTGAAGGCATCTGCAGCGTAGTGGCTTACATCTGACATAGTCACCTTAGGAACACCTCATGGCTAATGGGGAGAAATCCTACTTTTGGTGTGGAATTACTTTGACTCACCTTAAGCCTCTGAGTTAGGATAAGTGATATTTGTCAAATGCCTCTATCTCACCTCTGAAAGGAGAATGAACTTTAGACATGTTAATGCAGCTGTAGACATCCACCTTTAGGTTAGCCAAGTATCCTTATGCTCTTCCTCATTGACTTCATACTTCACAAGATATACCACTATAAAACCATATGAAACTGGAATAGAAAACCTCTCACTCTAAAGTGCTGTATAAGTTCAGACACTCTTACACCAACCACTCAAGCAATACCCAAAGTCAAAAATGAGTAGTTTGAATCTGTCAAAAAACTTCCATTTCTTGGTGCCCCCTTATAATAAAAGATTCCAGAAGGGATGAAGGGCATGCTTATTTAATAAATGCATTCACTAAAATCCTAGCTAATACTAAATTCAATTATTTTTCCAATTAGAGACTTAGATTGTGCCTACACTCACTGAAAAGTTGCTAGCTGCCATTTATGAAATGACTTCAAAAACAATCAATCAATCAAACAAACAACAATAAAACAAAGAAATATTAGAACAAATTCAGCTGTCCTCTGACTACAGGAATAATCTTTAGCCTGAAAAATATGCAAAGTCCTGGACAATAGGTGGCCTTCTCTGAATATATCCTGAAGCATTTTAAGAGAAGGATGTAGGCCTGTTTCAGCTAATTAGAATCATAGAATCATAGAATCACTCAGGTTGGAAAAGACTTTAAAGACCCATCAAGTCCAACCACGACCTAACCATATGACCCTAGTTGTAACAACCCTCCACTAAATCATGTCCCTGAGCACCACATCCAAACGGTTTTTAAACACATCCAGGGATGGTGACTCAACCACCTCCCTGGGGAAGCCTATTCCAGTGCTTAACAACCTTTTCTGTAAAGAAGTTTTTCCTTATATCCAACCTAAACTTACCCTGTGCAACTTAAGGCCATAATACATCCTCTCCAAAGTGCCACAGAACACAGAAATAGAATGAGGGACACAGAAATTATCATTTTAGATTAAGATAGAAAGAGAGATAGAAATTGGTGTTTCAGTCTTTCTCATTCTCTCCTTATTCCCCTGACTACGTGTTTATTTGCAGGGGAAAAGCACAGGTATTGCAAAGTGCTTTGCCACATGAAAGTGGCAGTGGGATCTATTCTCTGTAATGAAGGCTCTGTCTGAGAGCACTAGCCCTAACACTGAGAAGTGCCATGTCAGTAGATAGCTTGATTTCCACTTCAGATCACAGCACAGTTCAACATCTCTCTCTGATACTCCCAAAAGGGTTCATGCTGCATTCTTGGCCTCTCTGTGCTCTTGCACTACAGCATGAATAAGTCCCTTGCCACACCACAAGATCAGAATTTTGTATATATACCCATTGCCACTCATTGCATACCCATCCTTTGGTCAGTTATCAGTACAAGAGTAGAAAATACTTCTCTCAACCTCAGGTATGCCAAGTGATTTTATGCCCTGGCACTATCCACTCAGGCTGAAAAAGAGAAAACTGCTCTGGACAGAAGTGCTTTGGGGAGAAAGGGAGACACAGCATGGCAGTAACTGAAGGACAGAAGTTCTTAATTTAGCATTCCCTTATGAAGAGAGTTGCATTAGATCTCATGTTATTCTATTTGCAGACACAGATTGTTTAGGCTTACTAACACAATCCTTACAAGGTATTACTTAAAATATAACCATAAAACACCCACTCTGTTAACTATGCCCTCCTCTTTCTCATGCTTCAGATATTCATCAATAAAACTGGTGTGACAAACTGGGGGAAAAATAACCCTCTTATTTTCTGTAACATTATGTGAAGTGTGGTTTTTTGTTTTGCTTTTTTTGTGTGTTTGCCTTCTTGTGCGCCTGGTTGCCTAGAACTAAATCAAAAAGAAGTTGTTCAAGGAAAGGTCTGGGCAGAAATGTAGGTGAATAAGTGCAGGAGGCAGCCAAGTAGGTTCTAAGCAGCAGTAAGGCTTTGAGAGAGATGACAGAAGCTGTCCAAAGTGTATTGTAGACAGAAGTGCAAGGAAACACACATAAGTTTAAACTGTCATTGAAAAATCTCCAGCTGAATTACTTTCATGTGCTTGTATAGGATGCTCTATGAACTAAAGCAGGGAGCAGGCTCAAATATTTATTTTCCTGAACAGTGTTTCTTTTCCTCTTTAGGATACGTCTAAAGTCAAACCCATTCCCAGTTCACACTTTCAACAGCTGCTGTGAGAAATAGACCTGCCGGGAGAACAAGGAGGCAAAGGAAGTTTGAAGATGCTCTGGAGCAACAACAATATGGCTAAAGAAACAATCAGGTGGGTGCTATTCTTTTGCAACTTGGTCTTACATGTTTTGTACTTTGACTGTGTTTTGTTCTGGAGAAAGTCTGGGCAGCCAGAGGCAAACAAATCAGTCATTTAAGCATGGTCCCATGAAGCCATTGTTTTTTGCTACTCTTTCCATCTCTCTCAACTTCTTTTTTTCCTATCTTTCTTTCCTTCTTTCTTTCTTTCTTTTCTCTCCTTTTCTTTGTTTTCTTTCTTTTTTTCTTTTTTTTTTTTTTTCCTTCCCTCTCAGTCTATCTGCTTGCTGTCCTGCCTTTCTTTTCACTCCCATGTGCCAGCTCCATGCAAAGACTCCCTTTACCTTGTAATTCCTCCTGATCCACAGCTTGCAAGCTCTTCTGACTTGTTTCTCTTCTCTCACACTTTCCCATTTTGGTACATGCAAGTTCTTCAAAATCTTTTCTGATTTACAATCTTTGTGACAATGCAGCAGTGGGAGGTGGGAGATCTCCCATACCTCATCCAAGCTTCTGCCATAAGTCCCACCAGCATATCATCTCCCCAGTGGCTAGCGCTGTTGCCCTGTCAAGCAGAACTGGTAGGCTCAGCAGATGGAAGCCTGAGTTGCAGAGTTAATCATGCATACATTTCCCCAACTCCTAAACATGAAATTCACCTAAAGTATTTTCTGAAATCAACATTTTGTGTTTTTTCCTGTTTTCATAAATACACACAAATGCATTAACAATATTTTTCTATTAAAATTACATTTACTCCAACAGTGATCCAAACAGCAGCAATCTCAAGCATGACTGAACTCCTCCTAGCATTTTGGGAACTAGATGGAGCTGATCAATTGTCTCACTCATACTTGACCCAGCCAGGTGATGTCAGATGTTCTCCAGTGAACTGAAACAGGGAGTGGTGACTCTGTTGCATCTTCTCTTGCTGCAAATGTTAAATGAGTGTGCATCAGCTAAACATCTGTGCTGGCAACAGTTTATATTTAATGTTGTCATAGCGAAACAATTGAATTATTATCTTTGGAACAGATTGTGCATTTCATTTTTGAGAATCATATCACAATTACATTTATCCTCTCCACTTTCACATTTTCTCCATAGCAAGTTCAGTATCTTTTCCTCACCACACACAGTAACAGTATTTTACAGGGAGCAGTAAAGCTAAACAGTCTCCTGGAGAAGTTTGTTGTAAGCCAGGGTATTGTTCACAGCTATGGCATTTTTCAGACACTGCCAGAAGTAAGGCTGAGATCGAGGGTTAGTTGGCCATTCCAGAACAGAACTTCTGCACAGCCTCTTCCTCAGCCGAACATATCGGGACTTCTGTAATACTTTCTCAAGAAATATCAAGATAATCACATCAATTTTTTCATCTAGAAGTCGTTGGTGGGCCATGTAAAATGTTGTCTTGAAAGTGCCACTTTTAATATACTTGTTGGTCAGCACAAATATGGTCTTTTTGCTCAGTTGAATACTCTGGGAAAGGTTGTCAAAGACTGGCTGTCCTGGAAGCCAGTCTCTTTCTTCCAAGCATAAATTGAACTGTCTGGCTTTTTGATCTTCCAGCTTTTCAACCAATTCTGTCATCACCCATTCATTCACAGCCAGATCAGTATTGTCATAGGCAATAAAAGCATCATAGCAGGCATCTGGTAAAGGTAAACGTCTATAGCCTTTCAACTTGGCAGTGCAGTAATGATAGCTATACCACACATCCCAGAAATAGAGGTGACTCATAACTGCAAACGTTATTAAACTTAGGACAGCTGAAGTTGATAAAGCATACATGATCAAATAGGATGTGTCCAGCTCACAGGTATTCAGATCCAGGAAAACCAAGCTCCTTCCTTTGTGTGCCCCTGGGCCAGCACAGGTCACATCTGTGGCCAGAAGAGGAATTGTCACGTCAGTCTGATTGATCCACCCAACAAACCATACTGCATCACAGTTGCACTTGAAAGGATTGTTGTGCAAAAGCAGCATCCTCAGGTTGTTTATGATATTTTCAGGGAAGCTAGATTTCTTAATTATTTGGATCTTGTTTGAGCTGAGGTCCAAGTATGACAACGTAATGGCACCTCTGAGAAAATATTTGGTTATCCGTGCAATACGATTGTTTCGGAGTATCAGTTCTTGAAGAGTTGAAGTGCAATTGGACAGCTTTCGGGGAACAGTAGTCAGAAGGTTATTGCTGAGGTCCAGAGTTATTAGCCTGTTCAATAAGTAGAGTTTTCCCCAATTGAATGTCTTCAACCGGTTACTGGTTAAGTTCAGTATCTTGAGTTCTGGAGGCATAGCTGAAAAAACATCAGGAGGTAAAAAGCTGAGCATGTTAGAGGAAATATCCAGTTGTTCCAGTTTGGTCAGATTCTTGAAGAATGACAGATATTCAGTCTTCCCATCTGACCAAAAAATATCTAAACGATTTCCCCGAAATTCTAAAGTTTTAAGAGATTGACTTTCCATCCCCATGCTAATAGAGGTAGAAATCTCATTCTCATTCATCATCAGCTTCTTCAGATAGGCCAAGTTTTTCATAAAACTAAGCACATGACTAACACCTTCTGCCAGAAAGTAATGTTTGTTATTGCTCAGATCTAGAATTTCTAAAAATTTCAGCTCTTTGAAAGCAGTTGAGTATAGCAAATCAATCCTGTTGTTAGAAAAATCCAGATATTTCAATCCAGACAGGTAGCAGAATTCGCTTCCATTTAAAGTTTGACTTATGGCATTACCTGACAAGTTGAGGCATTTGAGGAAACTAAGATCCTGGAAGTCTACGGAGTTAACAAAAAATATGTTGTTTCTGCTTAAATCTAGAGTTTTTCCATAATTCATGCAATCTTCATTGACCGAAGGTTGGTAGGAATCAGCCTCTTTGTCTTTGGACTTGCAACTTCGACCATACTCATCATACCTAAAGTAATGCATCTCTTGTAAAACTTGCCTGCTGTATTGCTCTACTGTAATCCTGGGATCAGAGCAAAATCCATAAAAGTTACTTTCACCTGAAGAAGGAGAAATTTTATTCACTGAGAGATCTATGATTTTGAGAGCTTGGAATTTCTTGAACACTCTTAGGTCAGCAATTTTAATAAAATTAGTCCCAAGATCCAACACTGTCAGATTTCTAAGACCGAGTAATGGATCTAGATTTCCTTCTCTCAGTTCTTTAAAGACATAACCCTTGATTCTTAGGGTTTCCAGGTTAGAGAGGGAGGAAAATGTCTTAGACAGATTCAAGGATGGAGAATACATCTGCAATTCAAAATTAAAGGACAGATCCAGCTCTACAAGACTGGGGATAAGCTTCAAAAACTGAGCGTCTCCAATCTCCTTTATGAGGAAGTTTTGGGAGAGGTCAAGATCTTTGAGATTCTTGATGTTTTTAAACCAGCTGCTTGGTATACTCCGAAGAGAGTTACTGTGAAGCCTCAAAATTCTTAATTTTTTCAAGGAATAAAAAGCCTTTGAATGAATATTAATTGAGATATTAGGGCAGGGAGTACAAGGATATGGGGCATTATAGCAACGTGGGCAATTGCCACTGAGATCAAGAATTTCTAGGTTGTGAAGGGTACTTAAATCATGTTCCTGAACCTCTTGAATTCTGTTATTGTAAATATACAATTCTTTTAAAGTTGAAGACAAGTTGGGTGGAATAAAAGTTAAGTTGTTAGACTTCAGGGAGAGTACTGTCAAATTTTTCAGATTCAGAAAGGCTGTTTTTTCAATTTCAAAAGAAACATTGCACGGATTACGGTAGTAACAATTCTGTCCCAGATACAGTAATTCTATATTTCTTAGCCCTGAAAAAGTGTTTTTTTTAATAGAAAAAATTTTGTTTGCTTCCAGACTCAGCAGTCGTAGACTAGCAGGAAGACCCTGGGGTATTTCTGACAGTTGGTTTGCATCCAAATACAATGACTTCAGTCTTGTCAGAGCGGCAAAACTGCCATTCTCAATTGATGGTGGTGTGGTGCACACACTGTCTTTGGGCCCCAGTCTGGGAGGCACGCAGTTGCATCTGAAGTCAATCTCCACAAGGTTTTCAAGCTGAATAAAGGATGCTGGAGAGATATGGGGGATACGGTTAATAGTCAGGGTCAGGTTAGTAGCGTTTCCAGGGATCCCTCTGGGGACTTCCGTGAGGTGACGATCGCTGCAGTCTACTCTCACAGTACCTTCAAAGGCTTCCACATCACAGGGTAAAGTTTTGGGAAACCAATGTCCTGATAGCCGCATTGGAAATAAGAAGAGCAAGACAGTCAGCAGCGCATTTGACATCTTTGCATGACGTTCCTAAAAATAAGGAAGTAGGGAGGTATCAATCAAATGCAATGGCAACAAATGTCATAGGACATGTACTGGGGCAAACCAAACACAGGGAGAACCTAGGATCTTGTCTCATGCTGGCCAGAAATGGATGTCTAGGAAGGATTCTAAATCTGGGGGAAGGAGTGTATTGACATTTCCTCAGATGTTTTTTTTTTTGTTATTATAATTAAATATTGCACTGATAAGACAAATATCACACTCTAAATAGTGAATCATAAAGAAATTAAGGAATCTGCTAAAAAAAAAAGACAAGGTATGTACTTAAGTCTGTTTATGTGAATTCTCTTTATTTAAGGGTAAGCAATGTTAGATATCCAGCAGAATGCAGCTGTATAATAGACATAAACGAGCAAAGTAAATTTTCAGAAGGAATATGGATGTACTTCAATATCCTTTAATAGCAGCTTACATTTTCACTGTCCAATAAGGAGAGAGGGTCCAGGGGGCTTTATGTTGCTTTATGTTAATTGTAGGTCTAAATAGAAAAATAAAAGGTGTTTAAAATTGAGTATGTCTCTTAAAAGTGTTGTAGTAATTCAATACATACAAGGACCTGCTCACTGCATAGGCAGTATGGGAAAACACTACTGAGAGTTCCCCTGAACGTGTTCTGTATATGACAGATAAACTGGGACTTCCTGTTTTATGCTCTGTTTACGTACAATAGTGTATCCTTTCAGTATCCTTTCAGAAGTGTTTCTTTGTTATTTCAGATAACAACACTAAATCTCCTGTTCATCTATGTATCTGGAGGAGAGCTCTACTGACTAGCGAGGCAGCAAATGGAAGTGAAGCTAGATCAAATCTCTCACAGCACTGCATTTCTGCTCTCTAGATTCAACAACTACATAGAATCACTACAGGGATTAATTCAGTGAGCTTTTGAATACAAGGCCTCAGTATGGATGGAAAAATGCAAAAGTCTAGGGCAGATCCTGAGCTCTCTATTTTTGCACTTGAAAATCTTATAGTATTCCTAGTACTAGAAGCCTTTCCTCCACTGTGATCTCTTTTCCTTTTCTGAGGAAGAGCTACAGAATCTTCTTCTCTTCAGTGAGTTCACAGAAAATGGAAATTTGGTTAAATATCCAGATTGGTAGCCATTACCCAACATTTTTACAATTACTCAAGGAAAAAGCTCCCCTTGAATTCCAAGGCAATGAGTCATATCTAATTATCTTCAGTTCTTGTGAATCATTAGTTGTATCAAAATAATCTTCATTTGGTATATACTAGTTTATTTTGGAAACTCACCCAGACTGAAGACATGGATCAGATCATTCACCAGTGTCTTCAGTACAGTCTAACAAGTTAACTTTAGAGGAATTTAACTTTTCTAATTTTCTAACATAGACAAGCACTTGAATGAAAATGATGAATAAGAATAATCAGAGCAAGATGGGAGCTAATATGGAGAAGATAAAATACATTTGTTTCCTTTGACTATCCAAAAATCTTTTTGAAGACTTCTTTATTTCTGAATTAATGTAGACAAGAAGGTGGGAGGGAACGGAGGGACACTACCATTAAAATTAATCACATAGAAAACTGAGGGAAACTTTTTCAACATAGAAAACTTTTCAATGAAAAGAGACAACATTTGGGTATGTTATTGTAAAAATTCTGCCTTCTTTCTTTACAAGGAAACACACTAAATTATTTATGTAATGACATTTTACTAGACGAGCAAAAATGCTAAGTAACAGTGCATTTAATTTTATTTACTGGTGCTATTCAACTAAATCCATGCCATGCAGCAAGCCTGGGAAAATGGATGGCCTTGCCAACCACTGGAATCTGAGTTGAGTGGCTATTTTAAAATAAAAAAGGAAAACCTGCTGCAAACCACAGGTTTGCTGCTGTTGAGGAAAAGTTAGTCGGAATCAAGGTCAAGTTAAGTTTGCTAAGTCAAGTTAAACCCCTCCATCCAAGCTCTAAATTAGAACTTGGACAACATGACATAGCTGCCTAGATCATCACCAACTTTCTCTGTGCATTTGTACTCAGATCCTACACTTGGGGACTAAATTCCAGGCACTTATTCGTATTTCTCAATGCTGTGCCATCAGCCTGGAGTGCACTGGTATCTAGGAGTAAGTAGGGGAGCAGGGTAGGGCTCCTCTGCAGAGCTGCTCAGCCCTCACAGCGTGAAGGGAGTTGCCTGGGTATAGAGGCACTGTACTACTAGAGGCCTGAAGGCAGGTACAATGAATTTGGGACATCAAAGTCTTCAGGAACATCTTTGAAGGTTCCTTCTGGTGTCAAAAAATTGCCTACAGAGACTCGTAAAATGCTCAGATTTTGAATGCAGACCTGCTGCAGAATTTTTAGGAATCCAGGCGTTTTTGCAGAGCAAGCCTAGCTTTTACTCTGAGTTTCATTTCTCTGCAAAACTTGCATCTCCATGTCCCTTTAATGTTAATGTGATTTTGCATGCAAATTGTTGCAGTCTGGTGCTGTGTAACTGCCCACATGCAACACGCCTTGTGCCCAGTACTGTACTAGAGAAAAATAAAGAAGACAGGTGAAATTAAAAGAAATAAGCAATCACAGAATAGGGGTTGGAAGGAACCTCTGCCTATCAGAGTCCACTCTCCTACTAATGCTGGTTCCCAACAGTAGGCAATGCTAACCTGTACAAAGTTCTTGTATTCAGAAACGTAGTTTAAAAGTACACCTAAGATATGCAGGTGAGTTGTTCTTTTCTCTGTGATCTATGTTTTTGTTCATAAGTTCAGAAATACTTCTATTCCAATATTAACTGAGGATATGTACAAATCCAAAACTGAATTCCATCTGATTTGTGGCATTCTTCAAATATTCAGAAACAGCAGGACTGTAAGTATTCCTTATGCATTTTTAAAGGTGAAAGAGTGAAAGGCCAGAGAGCAATGAGCAACGCAGGAATTACAGCTAGTAGAAAACACTTTACTATACTTTTCCCCTAGTATATTAGTGTAAAACTCTCATTTCCTATCATTATTAAAATTGCAACTTATAGCCACAACAGTGAATTTGGACATCTAAAAGCAGAATTTGAGAATATACTCTTGAAAACCTTTCCCAGCAGTTCCAGCCCAAGAGCACTAACAACTTTAAAATGAAACTTTCACCTACCATTTTCTGTGTGCTGCCACCTCTGAAAGATTTGTCATGAGAAGAAACTGTAAATCAGTGCAGGAAAAAACAGCGTAAAAAAGGTCTTCACTGGTTCAGATCCCGTAGAGAGGAGTGGCATAACTCACTCAAGACAACAGCAGCAACCACTGCTTTATCGTTCTTCTCTTCAGCTGAACGGCAGCTTGAGAAATAATTAAACATGAAACAACTGCTGCAATCCACTTCCTCAAATATCTGGCCTTAAAATTAAAACAGCACTACCTCCGTTACTCCTCCACTCCTCATAAAAATAACTGAGCACTCCTATTTTTTCCGTTTTAAACAGATTCCCGCATTGCTCACAAACCCACGTGCTGTTGCGACAACAGGGTTTTTTTTGTTGCTGTTTAGTTGTCATCTCATGCTGAAACTTTCTCTGTTCTCTGTCACTTTTGATCATGCTTCTCATTTTAAATTCCGTTGTTTACCTGTCCACACTGTTAGACCTCAAGGAACTATAAAGACTCCAAGATGCCACGGGGAACACCCAAAGGAGTGCAATTGTCAAATACTTGGAATGAGAAAGTGAGGTTAATCAGACAGGAGGGATGTGTTACGCAAGGGCAGCATTCACTTTGGGCAATATAAATTTGCAGTAGCTTGAGTTCCTTCTTTTTTAAGTGCAAGTTCTATGACCACAAGTGAGCCTGATATAAACAGTATTTTAGATTTGGAAGTTCAATCATTTTTTATTATTATTGGAGGTTCATTTCTGCTGCTAACAGCTTTAAGAACAGGCCTTTAACTGAGACCTGTAATCAGATAAGTCTTTAAAGATGAATCCTTAGTGTAAGAATGTCTACTAAGTGAATGAGACTTGCGGAAAGGGAACCAAAACAAAACAGAAAACCAGAGCAAAAAGTGAGCTTTAACTTACCTTTAGCTCTTCACCTTGTTGTAAAACAAATGTGCTTAACTAATTGTGTCATCGTATGTAGGAGAATGGCAGGGCATAAGCTGGACTGCAACCGTTGATTTTTTCAAGAACCTTGACACGTCTCTGGAGCATTACACTGGAACAGACTTTAAGCATGAGGTGCTTTATGCCCACTAACATGAGCTGCATGTCAGTTTTCTAAGGCACAATGTGCGGCCACCTAACCCAACAACTGTCTATGGCTACTCAGGGCCTTTGAAAACCTCGCCAGCAGTCTGCAGCTTCAAACTTTGATAACTTTGATAGCTGTACCGTCCCACTGGTGTCTCTTTTGGACTAAGACTGATTCAATTTTTCTCATGTTAGGAACTGCCTGTCACTCAGCCAAGAGCATGAGAGTTTCAATTCCGCACAGAGTGAAACTGCAATTTTAGCTGCACACTAACTGAATCGCAAAGTGAGAACGTTGCTATTCTTTTTTTTTTTTTTTTTTTTTTCAAGATAAGAAATACGGGCAGCAAAACAGAGTCATATTTTCTTATGGGTGACATAAGCAAGGGGGAGCTCGGGATTCACAAAATTCAGAGCTGTAATTTGTTTTCTAGAGGCAGAGGGAGTCACTAACTTGCTGAGTTTTAAAGCACAGGTTTCCCTCAGACTTTGTGCAAAATCTCTTCGGCCTACTGTGAAACACAAAGTAACTGAAAGCAGCAAAGTCCCTTCTACCACATCACCTGTTTGGAAAGGACTCATCCATCACAACGCATGTATTCTGCCACCTCTGTGAACAGAGAATGCAACTTAAACAAAGCAAGAGACTTTAACATCCTTCATTCTCATTTGCCTTTCATTGAGCTTGAAATCAGACTGATGAATGTAGAACTGTTACGTGCTTTTTTCTTCTAAATCAAAACTTACAGAATATTGCTGTAGCTTATTTACAAAATCAGGATGCCACTGCATTTGCTTTAAAGCTGGGTAGCATAGTTCAAGTCATAAAGTTTTACAGTAATGTCTTTTCTCTAAAGAGATAACCCTCACACCAATCATTATGATAGCACCCCAAGTATTCATGGTGAATATCCCTTTCAGTGTAGCATTGCCTAATTTACCAAGGAAATTATCACAGAAATTGCTCAACTTTTACAATACGTAAGCTGACTCCTTAAACTACTGCAGACAGATGTACAAAGAAAACCACAGAGAAAAATGGATAGCAGAATTGAGGAAATGATAACGAAATCATTTGCAGAAACCTTAAGGAGCACACAAACATAGAACCTCTGCTGATAGCAGTTGTAGAAATGCATTTGTGAGCACTAAAAATAACAAAAACAGTAAACTGAAAACAACAGCAGAGAAGACCAGACTATACCATGGATTGAGAGTGGCTTTCAGCATCACAGAAATAGAAATTCCTATTTCATTTCAGAAATTCCAACTTCTAAAAACCAATTGCCCAGGCAACCACAGCGCCAAGATTGACCAAGATTGACCAAGATTGATTGGTGTTTTCAAATCAATTTTGCATTTTCTGAAAGCATAGGTGCTTGGCATTTCTGTTCCTGAGTCTCCAACAAATTAGGAAGCAGGAATCTAAAAACGCCTGAAATAAGACAGTTTCTATACTCAGTGCTGCTTCTGTAGCATTTCTGTTCCCCTTTTCCTGATAGATAAATAGATAGGATAGGCGGAGGCATGACTTCTTTCCTCTGTGGAAGGAACAGAAGTGCTAAGGCAGCAATGCTGGAAGAGGAGATGAGCACAAATGCTGACAAAGCACACAGCTGGCATGTTCAGGGGGAGTTTGGGCTTGGATACCCTCCAGTCCAATTTCTTACTGGTGAAGTGACTAGCCTACAGGACCATGGTGATTTGAAAAGCTTCACGTAGATAATCTTGCCATGGTATATGACATTTTTCTTAAGCTCTGAGGGAGTGCTAAAATGGAAAGACATACAGATACGCCAATTTATCAGGCTTTTAGAGGTGATGCAACCTTATATTCTCATTTATTATGAGGCTTGATATTGCCTTTGAAAAAACTTTAAAGGCTCATCAAGAAAGCACAGATATTTATTTGTATATATACACATACACTGGTATTCACTCAGTTTTTGCAGTAACTACCCGGGAGCTCAAATCAATGTTTAATGATCTTTCCATTCTTTTACCTTTCCCTCCAAATACAACACAACCCTAGAGAAGAGATGACTGAATCCACTCATAGGTGTCTGACAGGGATGAAATTAACTTTTTAATAGCAGCCTGCACATCACTGTGTTTTGGGTTTATGACCAACACAGTGTTGACACCAGTTATTTTGCTGTTGCCAAGCAGCGATTGCAGCATTGAAGTTTTCTGTTCCTCACTCTACAGGATTAGGCAAAGATGCTGGGAAAGGGGACAGCTGACCCCAGTTTACCCAGAAGGGACATTCTTTACCCTATGACACTGTCAGGGATAGAACCCTGAGGGGAAGTTTCTTCCAAGTAGCCACTGCTCAGAGTGTGACTCAGGTACGAGGCTGCTAGCAGGAGGTGGCAACTGATTGCTTCTGCAGCACATTCACCATCCACACTCCTTTGTCCCTTATTAAACTATCACTATCTCCACTCACAAATCTTTCTCCATCTCTGTCCTCCCAAATCTCTCCTCCCTCCTGCTACTGTGGAGTGAACAAGCAGCTAGGTGTGAGCTAGGCTGCCAGCCAACATCAACCTACCTGCTGGCTAACAGAAGGGGACCTGTGCAGCACACATGAACATTCATACCTGCACTCAGATACATCCCCAATCGCAACAACATGACCTGGTCCTTTGATGTTAAAACATTGCAGTCTATAGCAAAAGCTTTCAGAAAGACTGCAAACTTTAAGTACTTTTACTGAGAAAGGCAGAAGTTTGTACTTCCCGTTAGGGCAGCAGAATGGAACCAATCAAAACAAGTTTTGTAAATGGCAGCTAAAACCTCTAAGTTCAGCAATGCAGTCTAGTATTTTTTCTTTTATTTCAAGATTTCTGTTCATAATTCCTACCTGACTGAGCCCTGCTAACTAATCTTCACACAAGAATCCCCAAATGGGCCAGAGAAAATCTAAAGCACTAAAAAGCCTTAAAATAATAACATCAAGGTTTCTACCTCCACAAAAAGGCTATTTCTATGACTGCTGTCAAAATGGATAGGATATTTCATAGAGCTCTTAGAATTCAAGTTACTACTTCATGATGACTTCAAATGTGAAAGATGTGGCAGACACAAACATTACTGCATTCTCCTTTTTCTCTTTCCTTACCATCTAATCTTGTTAAATACAGTGGAGTTGTTTTGCTTTCAACAACTTGAGAAATAAAAGCTTCAGCTGTTCATAAAGCATTAATTCAAGTTCCCATAGATATTTAAACGTTGTATCATTTGCAGACTGTATAAAGGAGAAGGATGATCTTATTATATAGTTCTGTATCAGTCTGGTGTGAATAACAGTTCATTCTTACACCCAAGACAGCTGTGGCATGATTTATGAGCAAGGTTTGCATGAGTATCACCACATTCTTCCCTACTTGACCTGTGCAGAAGAAAAAAGTAACTGAAGAATAAAAGCAATCTCTCTGGACAAGTGATTTAAGTAATTTTAATGTTATTGTTTACAATACTGGTGCACAGTAAGGGCAGACAATTCAGCATAAACATATGTGATTTTTAGAAAGTGCAACTGACATCACATACTAAGTATATTGTAGACCTTATCGCTATGCATAAGCTCTACATTTCTGGTATAATTACACAGCCATAGACTTCAACTGAAAAATTTAACTGCAAGGTAATATTTTCAAGATGGTAGGAAAAATAATCTTACATTTAAGAATTGTTTTACTAGTCAGAATAATGTAATTTTCATTGTATTATGAAGTACTTTTTAAAAAAATGAGCTCATGAGAATTGAATTCCCATCACAGTATCTTATACACACATTTCTGTATTCATTACTAAAAGTAGTATGTTTGATTCATAGAATAGAGAACATACAGAAGAAAGTCTTTATTGTCCTTTTAATTATTTTTTTTTCCCCAGAAACTTTCTTAGGGGAAGAAAATACTGTCTGTCTTAAGACTGTCTTACAGGAAAAATCCACTTCATAGTACAACACCACGTCACTAAATGCACCCTAAAATAAGTAAGGTAGCCTTATTTCATCCTATCTTATGCTCTTCCATTCAACAATTGCAATTCCAGGTGGAAAATCAACTTTTCCCATTACCTAGGTGCAGGGACAGTACCTCAACACACACCAACTCTTACAACCTAGCAGGAAGGCTGAAAATGCCCCATAGAAAATTTGTAGACCCAGAAGTAGAATGTCAGATATATTTTCTCCCCATAATCCATTACTGTCTGCATTATCACTACTTAACCTTAGGTTGCAATAACTTAAAAGAAAGACAAAACTGTTTTCATAACAACTTTAATTCTCTAATGATAAAGGATAAAAGACTGCCTCATCTACCATAATGCACTGACTGCAGAGTTAAGTACTGCAGTACTTCATGATAGCAAATTGAAGCTCTATTGACCATGCAGTTTAAGATCAGTATTTCAGATTCCTTTTCATGAAGTAAATGT